TCTAACCGATGTTCAAGGGTTAAACGAAGTGTATAAACTGCGGCTCGGCGAGTCGTCTGCCTCTGTATAAATGAATTATTGTCCGGACAATGACGAGCATATAAGCGGGATATTAATAACGCACGTCGTCATTTTCCGTCTACAAACTAAACCGTTGAAATCAGACTCATCGCGAATTTAAAATAGCATTACCGAATGCTGATTTCAGTGTTTTTTTTTTTTTTAACTCCGAATTCGGGTATGCGTGATGATCTAATCTTGCCTTCTCTCATTGCAATTATCTAAAATACTTTGCAAATATGGAAAATATTTATCCATCGCGCATCATCAATATAATGTATCTTGATATTCTTCATGGTAATATGTTTATTATTCAATTATCTACATTTTACGATATTAAAAATAAACTCGCGAAATAATAAATATATATCAGATACTTTTGAATGAAATCTTATTTTATATTTAAAGTTTTCGTAATTTCCTTCGAAAAGAAATAAAACTCTGTTCGGTTACTCAAATATTCTTCGAGTTGCGGTAATAATTTATCATTGAAAATAATGAAAACGAGGTTTTTAGCATCTTTGAAAAGTCGCTGGTCGCGTGATCGGAAGCAGGAAATATTAAATGACAATCTTTATTGTCGCGCATAGATGGAAAGTTCGTGCGTTGGCACGTGCGAATCGGCAAAGCTTCCGCTTATTCAGCATGATTCAATCACATTTCATTCATTCCCGTAGTACGACTACATCGCGAATACTCCTGTGACTTCGAAAAGTGGCACGATACCGGCTCGTGACAATGCTTTAAACACGTGTGTGTACCCAAAGTAATAAATACAAAAAAAAAATTATGTTTCCTACTGAAGATAGTACAGAAAGTAAAATAATATAAATAGAGGAAAAGAAGAGTATCATAAATATATAAAAATTACTAGTTAATACACAGGGACATAAACACTGTCTTTTTAATAATAAAATAGAAGCGCAAGAAATAAAAGTATCAAAATTCTCTAGAAGAAGATGATAATAGAATTAGAAAATAATATTAATATTATAATTTAATATTTAAATAATTATAATATCAATATTATAATTAGTATCATGGAAAATGTGCCAAAAGATTTCGATACAATGAAGTGATAGATGACAGTACAAGTCTTGTCGGCCCGTCTCGTATTGTAAAACGCGATAAGGGTTGTTCGCATTCCGTACACGTAATAAACACGCGCTTGCGACACGCGAGAACGCATATATGCATGATATCATCTGACAATTAAAATCGATGTGATAAGTCGCAAACCTGTGTTAGCGCTTCGATGCCAAATGCGATTCTCAATTGATTCATAATACGACATTATAATATAAATCGACTATAATTCCCCTTTATTACTATAATTTTTATTGCTGCTTGAGAAAATTCAAATATTAATAATTGACGCTATTATAGCAGATAATGCTGACCAACAAGCTTGTAACGTGAACAATAAATGATTCAGTGGCCTAGAAATAAAAGAGAATATCGTCATGTATAAAGAAACGTCCACACGTCCTCTCTCTCTTCAATGATTCGTCCTTCTAACATCAAGTCAGAATATATAATCAATTATTTTAATTCTAAGATATCTATCAAATGGTTTAAAAGCAACAATGTTGTACTATATGTAACAACAATGTATTGTATTATTTTTTGAAATGAAGAAAAAAGATCGACAGAGGAAAATTGCGTTTCGTAGAAAAGAAATAAGAATATTGCTTTTACACATTTTATAGACATCGTATATATTATAGGTGTCAAGAGATCTTTTTCCTTGCCATTTCTGCCTTATACTTCTCGATTCAAGTAAATACAGATGGTCTCGAAGATGTAGAGACATCATTAGCTTAGTTTGGGTAGTGTTTATTCGAATTTATGTAGTCATAAGTGCGGTGAATGTTTCAATGTACACAACGAGAATATCATCGCCGATAACAGAGCAAAAAAGCATCGATGATGATGATGACGACTGGATGCGAATATGGACAAATTATTTACAGAGAGATAAACTGTCTTTTTGTCCCTAGTTAAATCAGCTTTAGTGGAATTAAAATACGAGTTATGAGTCACGAGACAGAACAATATACTACAAATTTTATTTTAGTAATTATATAATTTTTATATTGTAAAAAAGATAAATCCTTTTAATTTTTATGTAATTATGGAGATATTTCAGAGATATTACTGATGTATAACCGAAAGATTGTACAAGTGAATAATAAGAAAAAATATAACATTAAAGATAATTCTTTATAACACAATAAGACAAAAATCTTATAAATAATGACTCATAAAAAATAGTGTAAACTATGCCTCTCTCTCTCTCTCTCTCTCTCTCGCAATCTATATCGTGATTTTTATTACATATACAATCCTGAAGCTAAAAAGAAAATACGCAGAATAAATTATGGCTATAATAAATCTCACACATATTAACATATGCCGTATACAAATTAAAATCCATAGTAAATTTTTATAATCAATATTGAATTATTTATAATAATAAATTAAAATTGATTTAAAAATTATTTCGATAACATTTTAAAATGTATGATATTATTGTGTTAGAATATTTTGTAAAATATTCTATATCTAATAATATCTTGGAAAAATTTTTTGCAGTTTAATTTTAGCAAAAACTATGATGAACATATGAATTACCATAATTTTTTATTTTTTGATCATGACTGTTTCCATATAATTGATAATAATGAAAGAAACATGACAGTGAGAAAATCCGCGAGATAATCACGCGGCATCGACGAAAAAAATGGCGATTTCTCGTTCTATTAGTCAGCTGACGGCGCGCACAAAGAGACGCGTCATCGCCGAGAGAGGATACGCGATCGTTGAGAAAATAACTTATTGTTAGATATCCGTCTTTATGCTATTTGCGCAACATTTTCCTTAAAAAAACGGTTTCAATAATTTAAATCACTTCCTGTATCGCGCAGTTCACGCTACCTGATAATCCATGTAAATAAAAGCATTATCAAGCATTTTTATCGCCGAAACATCTAATCACGATTAAATCGCGCAGCGCATGAATCGCGGTAAAAAATCGAAATTGCATTTATAATTTATGATTCAATGCAGTTATTCTTCCGTAAAATACATCGTACGAATGATCCTTACGCAAATCGAATTCGCAACAAAAAATAAGCATAAAATATTTGTATAATAAACGTATAAAGTTTATCCTATATAAATCCAAATTAAGAGCGAGTAATATTGTATACGAGATAAAATTCGATAAGATAAGGCTTATAAATCATACAATATTGTTGACGTATCACAAATTTAATAAGATAATTTTGCAGATAGATAATCCCTCGATCAAATAAATAGAGGGCATTAAAAGTCACATGGATTTAAAAGAAATTTATGTTATATATAATTAACTTTCACATTTGCAAATTTCTTTTGTATCGTACGATATTTCAAATTTCTATTCCTTATTTTTACTGCAATACATCATTGGAATAGCTAAAAGAGCACAATGACGACAAAACTATTCTGCAGAGAAATAACTAATTACGGTACGATGACGCATGTGCATTCAATAACGCGCACCTGCTTGTATTTTACGCAAGTTCGAATATGCTATAAAAGCTGAGAATATTGCATGTTACGGCGTAAAAAATACAACACGGCGACCGCATTCAATAGATAGTTATCAGCTCGATAAACCCCCTGTATATGTTCAACAAATACATATGTATGTAAAATGAGTTGGTGAGATTTTTTTACAACAATCTAGAATAAGGTTTGTAGATCAAAATGCTGCTAAACGCGTAGTATTTATTTGTAGTATATCTATTTTTATGAAAATAAAACGTTTGTAAGATATATATATATATATATATATCAATATCACGCGGACGCGTATGAGATACATTAATAATTATATTTTATTACCATCTATACACATACGCATGGCCTTCTAGACCAGGTCGTCAATATGTATTCAGCGTTCGATGTATTGCAGTGCTGCACACGCGCTGCGAGCGTGTGCCAGACACTTTCTAGGCATGAACGGACGCGACGTAAACACACGAGAGCGACCAACGGCGGTGGCGGCGGCGGCGGCGACGAATCCAACAGGTGGACCCAACTCCGATAAAATTCCACGTGAATGCCACGGATTCTTTCGATACGGGCGCGTCGTTTCTCGGGACTTTCAAAGCCGGAGAAGACGCGATTAACGCACTTGCGTTCGCCTTAATGTGCATTAATCACTTTCAAGAAATTTATCTGCATATATATGACACGCATATATTTTCGATAGTAAAAATATAGTCGATGAGAAGTAGATAATAGTCTTCATAGAAGAGAATTATTATTCTGTTTTTATTTATAATATTAAAATTTTTATAATAAAAAATAGAAAGAGAGAATGCGATATTTATTTTTATTTCATTGTAAATTTTGATAGATCGGTTTGTAAAATTGAGATAATTATTCGATATCTCTTTTGCAATTACAACGTTATTTGCGCATATTTGTATTTGCACTCCGCGAATTTGAATATGCACGCGCATTTATGTTTATTACAAAGTAACCGTTTGTGATTTCAAAATGATTTTAATAGAGCCTATTACTCTCGTATGCGATTTAAATTTCATAATTTATTGTACATCGACACAAACTGCGTGTTTATTTTGTATATAGCCATTTTTTATCCATAATAATGATTCAATATAAAAAATATCTTAATTTTAAGAGTACCAAGTTTTTTCTAATTATATACATAATACCATAATCATATATATAAAAACAACTTATTTATATATATGAATTCCGCAATAATAATAAGTCTCTATTAAAAAAGAAAAAAATTGAGATGGTATAAAGTGCATATTGCATAATATGCCGTTTAAATCACTGAAATTTACGATACGTAATAAATCGTGTGCTCGGTACGTCTAGAGTTAAGATACGAAAAGCAGAATAGAGGAATTACTTACCTCGTCGACTGAGCAGTTGCTGCCGTCGGAGCGATCCTCCACGCTGTTGGGATTCCTTTCCGGCGTCTTGATCACCTTGATGTTGAGCATAGTGCCCTTGATAACGATGTTGTTCTCCCTGAAATAATCGTCGGCCTCCTGATCGACCACCAGCAGCTTGGTCTCGTTGGCGAATGCCTTGATGCGCTCGACCACCTGATTGTGGGTCTCGTTCGCGATGTCGATCTCGTTCACCTCGATTATCCGGTCGCCCTGACGCAGACCGGCCGCCTGACTCGGCGAGCCGTCGTCCACCTTGCCGATGAACTGGCCGTTCTTGCCCTTCTGCGCGTGCAGATTGAAACCGTAACCGGGGAAGTCGTCCCACTTGACGATGTGGCAGAGTCGCGCGCACGGCGGTTTATCGTCCTTCAGCGAGGACATCGCGTCGTTCTCGAACCTCGATGGGAGAGGCGAGAGTCGAGGAGGGAAAAAAAAGTAAGAGAATAAAAAAAAAAAAAGAAACAATGCGGAGAGACGCACCCCGCGAATCCGGGATCAGATCGGAGACACACCGTACCCGCACCAAGGAACGCGCGAAACGCGAGTCACGCGCGAACCGAGACGAGCGCGACGGGGACAAACACCACGAGACGGACGCGCGCGCACGTATGACGCGAACGGGCACGAACGATGACGGAGAGGCCCGAGCGCTCGGGCCTCGGCCTCGGCCGTCTCGGCTGTCCCGACGATTACCGAATCGATCCGATCGTGCCCGATGTTACTCTACGCCACGAAGCGATCGTTGGAACAAGGACTGGGCGATACGTGGCGCGAAATGCGATTTCGCGCGTAATGGCGGACTCGACCGACAAATGATCGAATTTTAAATTCGCGAAGAGCCTTATCGAGACTTCTCTTCTTTTATTGTTACGTTGCAACAATCGAGTTTTCTTTCGTTATTTTCTCTCTTGTGACTTTATTCTTACTGTAAGATTAAAGACGAGTATCTTCTTCGTCGGTTGATGTTTTCTTCATTGTTGATTTGTACTTTACGAATTTGTCGTACAAAGGTCGCTTTACCCGTATACACCGCGCTTGATTTACGTGCAGCAATCGCGACGAAACGAGATGTAAGTCCGTTCGACGCGTTCCTGAACACGATGCCGAAGAAATATACGAAAAACACTGTCACGAGGACAGACTTATCGAACCGTGCCGAATCGGAAAAGCGAAAGGAACGTACTGTAACGAACGAAAGTGAAGCGGGCTGTAAACTGTCATGGCGGCGACGCCTGGTGACAGGTGCGCGAAACACCGCATGCTACGATCTAGATCGAATATATTGGTCGATAAAAAACGACGAAAATATTTATTGTTAGGGAAAATACTCAGTTTTTTAATTTTCAGAATAGAATAATAGATAAATATATCAATAAAAGAACATACAATTTTTAAAATTTAAGTAAAATACGTTTTGTTTCCCCAATCTTCCTACAACTTTCTATTAGATCGTGTATCTTTCTCTCTCTCTCTCTCTCTCTCTCTCTCTCTCTCTCTCTCTCTCTCTCTCTCTTTTTTCTCAGAAAGCGATGAGAATTTTTCTTTATGTGATCGTGTATCTCTCTCTCTCTCTCTCTCTCTCTCTCTCTCTCTCTCTCTCTCTCTCTCTCTCTCTCTCTCTACATTCTTTATGTATTTTTATATAAATATAGAGAATGTTCTTTAAATGTCGCACACACTTGAATAAAAAATTAAATTAAATAATTCACTATTTAATTGCAATAAAGCAGGTGGAATAACTGGTTTTATACTTCGCCTTCAATTTTTATACATTTTGAATATTGCAATCTTTTGTTTAAATATCACGAAGATATTGGCATTAAGTTAACGCGATAAAAAAAAATTAATTATGATTTTCCTTACTTATCAATCAATTGAGACTGAATATAAAAGACTGAATATAAATAATGTTGTTCTACGAACAACAGTATCGCTCCTAGCAGTCGCGTTTTTTCTAATGCGACTTTCATGATTAATACCTGCGCGTCTCCGATGAATATGTTATTTCCTTTTTTTTCCACGGAATGCGACAAGGCGATTGGTGCTGATCCGAGCGAGTCGCGGATGATCGTAATGCGAGATTGTAATCGTGATGCAATCGCGCTGGCGTAACAATGCCGATTTGAGGAAACACGAATGCGCGCATCGCGATAAAAGGCGACACTCCGCCGATTGTAAAACGCGCAAACCACCCACGATAAAACGGATAAAAGTAGGCGCGCCATCGCGCGAAAAAATCCTTCAGAGCGAATGCGCTCTGGCAATTAGGCGGCAAAGTTAATGATACGTGACTGTATACACCTATCTTCAAACATCATATCATTAGGGACATATGTACGACATGACATCTATATATGACGTATATATTTAATGGTTGAGAAAAAAAAATATCGATAAAATTAAATCTTTATGTTTGCACATATATTTTATATTTTATATTTAAAAATGAATCTATATTTATAGATTAATTTAAATTATGTATTTATATTTTAATGAATAAATCTTGATTCGCGAAATAGATATTTATCGATAAAAATTAGCGTGTTGATGTCAATCGAATAAGCCATACAAGTTGAAGTCCCTATTAAATGATTACGAAATAGCAAGCACGATGATGCACGGCAATTATGGTACACGCGGCTATCACCTCGCCACTTCCGTTCTTCGGCAATCTTTGCGGGCAGTTGTTCGGTCGCAATAAAACGTAATAAAACCGCTTAGCTCAGCTTTAAGTAACCTTAATCATTTCTCCGGATAGTTTTTCCCCGCAAATGCAATATACACAAAAGCCTAATATTTTACAGTTAAAAATCATGTTACTAATCTAACTGCATTTTCATAGACGTTATAATAAATCGCAAGTAAAAAAATTAATCACATGTTATCATTGTAAATCTCATAAAAAAATTATTTCGATATAATATAATTAAATTCGAAAATAATATTTTAGGAAATTATTATTTATTTTTATCACAATTAAAAAAAAAAAATTTAATTTAATGTTAGACAAAAGCTCGTTTCTAATATGCGCATGTCAGATAACACCGTTATAATGATCGGTCTTGCTGGCATCGTCTTTATATGCATTCGACAACAAACTTTATGCGTGCACTCATATCTTAACGGTGACGAATCATACTGCGTGTTGTTATACTCTTACTCGTGTTTAAGACTCACCAATCGCATATGCATACGGTATTTTCTCTCGCAGATACGAAGAATACTTTGAAAACGTCAGTCTCGCGAGTTATATCGAAAATTATATCTTCGTCTCTCATGCCACCATTTTCATATATAACTTTTCAATAAATTATGAAACTGTGAAAAAAATAATTTTTTACGATATTTTTGTATCGATCTAAAATAACGGCTGTGAATTCAAAATAATTTTGAATATTTATTATTTAAATTTTAAATATCAAGACAAACTTTAATTATAGAAATCGATTAATTGTATATTTTGTATAATATGCTATTCTTGTCATCACGCTCTCAGCAAGGCTGCTAATCATTTTATCATGACTATCAGAATCCGAGATACACATAAAGTGTTTCTCACGATTGTAGTACAGTCCTTATCGGCGTGGAGATCTCAGACTGCGAAGGGTAATTAACATTTCATTCAGGATATGGTTAATCAAATATACGAGAGAAACAAACGGGAAATCTCTTTCAGATACGAAGGCCAAAGCTATGGAATTAAAACTCATACATATGTGTACGTTTTAATAATATCTTTGCATTCATATTGTGTCTTGTGTGTGATACATTTTTCATTATAGGATATACTGTTATTACATTGTCAACGCATATACGTGCGTAAAATCTAACAAATTATCTATTATAAAAATAGAAGTCTTATGAAAAGTGAACTCTATACGCGCGACAATATTTTATGAAAATACTTTCGAAGTATTAAACCCCCCTTTAGATTATGTATTGTTCGTGTGTGTCATATTGTGTCAGTAGATTATATTTAATTCGCGTCATAAATTTCCAATGTCAAAAAACATAAGCAGTAGAATTTAAACAAAACAAACAAATTACAGTACTAGTATTAAAATTTTGTTATACGCTTATCTCGAAAATATTGGAATGTCATGGTCGATTGAGTTCTACTGTTTACGTTTCTTTTATACATAATGATCTTTATTTTTTGCCATTAGCGTCATGAAGGTAATCATAGCGAGACTCTTTTAAATGTATCTGGCGTACCGATCGTATCAGTTGTTCGAAAATACGAACGGGTCATAAAATTATCGCCATAGACTTAGTAAATATATAGATTGTAAATATAGATTGTAAATCCATCTTCCATCTCAACCGTTTGCGTATCAAAATTAGAAAGAGAGCGTAATATATCAGCATTTGTTTTTATCGTTTTTTAACTTGATTGACTGTGGATATAGATCTCCTTATTTATATAGAAATGAAAGGAGTACGAATAGTTTATCTCTACGCCTACAATCTCTTTATATATACATGCCTGTGTTTATAATCCCCTCTACTCTCCGAGAGAGAAGACTAAACTCCCGAAAGCTCTCTTTCTCCTTCTAGTTTCGTCGCGACGCTTGATGCGCAGTCTATGCTTACTATGTCCATGGTCACCGCGCATGCGCGCGCATGGCGAACACTCGGTACTCGGTTGCCGACGTTGGCAACGTGAGTTTCGGTTTGGAGCGCGGCGGAGTCGGACGTCGAGTGACCGCGAGCGAGCGAGGCGGTCGACAGTGCGTGAATCTTTTATTCGTGTGATGCGTAAACATTAGTTCGTGACGCGTCGCGCGTCCTCGTCATTATCGCCGCACAGATCGCGCGACAACGGCAAAGTGCTTCGCAATTGTACCGGGTGAATTTTAACGAACGAACGGAGGATACGTGCGTGCGTGACCGAAGCCAACTTCCGAGATGTGGAGTCCGACGCACGTTCAAGTGACAGGTGGGTGAGCGATACCGCGTGAGTGGCGTGAAACGACGCCCCCCTTTTTTCGATAGATATGGTCGAACGCTCTCGCGGATACACCGCGGCGATATGTGTACCGTAAACGCGATTATCACCGCGCGAGTATACGTAAGGTTACGTGTCCTCGCTCGGAAACTAGGCGAACGAAACCTTTCGCAGTCTCGTCGCGCTGCGCAGGAATGTATCCGGTGTTGTCCGAGCCCCGATGACGCGAATGCCGTGAATGCCGTTTCGTATTCGTCACGTATTTCATCGCAGATAAAACTGGACGTTTACCAAGAATATTCGTTATCGTATCGCGATGTTAAAAATTGAATTTTATAAAAATGAAGGAGATAAAAAATATGTGTAATATTTTCTTTAAAATACATTCCATTATTTTTTGCTTCCTCAGAGGAAGCTTTGTTTTTTTCATTGTTTTCATTTTTAATAAGAAACATTCATTGTTTTTAATAAAAAACATTCTTTAAATTTCTTTATAGAAGAGATAAAAATAAGAGATCGTGCGCGTTGGAAAATTTTTTAGTCTTCTGCGACTTTTTTAAGATTATAATTTTATCAATAGCATATTAAATGAATCTCAAGGTTTAGTGTGTCTGTTGATGCTAACATAA